ACACATCACCTATATGTGAGTACATATCACATATACGTGAATACATATCACATATATGTGAATACACATCACCTATATGTGAATACATATCACATATATGTGAATACACATCACCTATATGTGAATACACATCACCTACATGTGAATACATATCACATATATGTGAATATACATCACATATATGTGAATACACATCACCTATATGTGAATACACATCACCTACATGTGAATACATATCACATATATGTGAACATACATCACATATATGTGAATACACATCACCTATATGTGAATACACATCACCTATATGTGAATACATATCACATATACGTGAATGAACATCACATATATGTGAATACACATCACCTATATGTGAATACATATCACATATATGTGAATACACATCACATATATGTGAAGAAATGTAGAGATGAGAGTACTCTGAATTTTAATCATTATGTAAGATCCACAGGTATAGAACGTAATTGATGAGAGGCTACCAAGAGATTGATGATGTGTATTCTAAAACAAAGAAGAGAAACAAAACGCTTAATACCCCATATTAATCATATCTACCATCCATCCCACTTTCACTCCAAACATCCTCTTCATCAGAGGTTGCATCCGTGATGTCCAGCTGATCCACCTGGTGATGAAGCTCTTCTGCTTCATCCTCCCCATCCAGCATCTCCTCCAAAATTTCGAGTTCATCCACTGCTGTTGATTCTACACTTTCAGCATTTACAATACGCTCCCAGGTTGACTTACCCCTGGCAACCAATCCTTCCCAGCGCTGGATCAAAGAGTCTACTTCCTCAGCTGTCATCCTTGTATAACGATAGGATCTCTGTAGTAATTCCACAATATTTGAATTCCAGTTCATCCATGTTCTGCAATGTTTTTGACGAAGATTGTCATGCAGGGATTCCAATACTTCCATATTTACATGCCAAACATCCTTGGCAATACGCTGACCAGGCTGCACTAAATCAATTCGATCTCTTCCACCATTTTCAGCATCATAATTTAAAATATTCACAAGTCCATAATAAGGTTAGCAAACAAAAGATAACGTAAAACCCACCTAAATAGAAAAACTTGCCACTGCTACACAAGGCCAGTAAGCCATCCAGCTTGCCTTCAGTCTTCAAAGCCTCAAGTACCATCTGTTGAGTCTCTCGGCCAATTCTTCTGAGTTCTTCACTACAAGACCTGTGTTGTAAAAAAGTCTGGATACCTTCAATTGTGCCTGGATCTACAGCCCACTTCTCTGTAGGATGAGCAAGCGCGCCCACATTCCAGAAAATATCCTCAAAAGGTAGTTTCTTTGCTTCATCCAGTGATGGACAAACCATATGGCTGACCGGCCGAATGCTGTTGAATTGGGACACTTGATCTTGATACGAAGTCCACTTTTTCTTAAACAATAACTGTTTCTTATTCATTAGAGTCTTGAGACCCTTTTGAGCCTTCGTACCTAAGGTAGAAGCATTTTATAACATGAATTTACGCTGCAAAGTTTTCCAAAAAGTAAAAACTTGCCTTGTCCCTCCTTGTCCCACTTTTTCTGCGCTTCAGCTATACCCACTTTGGCTTCATACAATCTCATCTTAGCCAGACGTACACGTATGAGTGCTTTGGATTTAAGACCTTTTTATATCAAAAATATAAAAAGTCAAGATACATAAGATTTGTTTGAAGCAGATCACCCACCTGTAGCGGCTCGAAGGCGCGTGAACTCAGGTGTTCCCAACTCGACTCTCACTTCCTCAACCACCATCTCAAGTTCCACAATTGATGCAGGCAATGTGAGGAATAGTGCCATCTCTTCTTCGGTCCGAGATCCTCTCCGCTTTCTCCGCAGACGAGACAGCTCAATCCTGAAATATTCATCCAGGTCAAATCTGCCCAAAGTCAGGCCAAAACATTCAAAATATTATCAGAACAACTCAGCTCACTGCGCATCCTTCACCTGCTCTTCCAAGTCGAGAAGCTCAACTAAACGCTGCTCGAGCTTCTCCTGTGCACCACAGTCATCCATTGCAGCCAGCTGAGTGGCCTTCTGCCGTTCCCACTGCCTGGAAAAATAACCATATGTGAAAGTGGAATCTTGAGTGTGAAGCCTTTGGAGTGTATCCGATGCGACCTTGGCTTTTCCTTCTGCTGTATTTAACTTCACCTCTGTCGAACGTGCTGTGAACAAATTACATTTCAGTTCCTACAACCTTCTTTCTCTTCAGAAATATATTAGATACCTGCGTTATTGCATCTAGTTTCATTTCCATGATTAGACTTCAAGTCTATTGAATCAACCCGGTGTTGTTTTGTAGCACATCGATTTGGTGCTATCAGAGGATCATTATCAGACCAGATCCTCTCATTTCCTTCCCCGTTGGTCAATCCATGACCCTTGTTCAGCCGGGGATTATATTTCAATTGACAAGTCCATCTATGTGCATAAGCATGAAAAGCACTAGTTGCAAATTTGAGATCACCACGCTGGTATTCCTCCTCAAAATACTTGTTCTGTGAAATCAAGAATTTCATCAGATATTTCATAGTTTAATGGAAAGAAAGAGCAAGCAGAACATCACCTTCTCAACGCTTTTTTCTAGTGTACAACCAATGTCATAAAAAACCGTATGGCTTTTGGTTGGCTTCCCCTCCTCCGCTGTATCTTGAAATAACTGATCAAGCAAGGCCAGTACAAAATACTGACTGATTCCGTCAGTAGTCACCAGGAATAATCATGGTCAATCATCATCAGACGTAGTACATCATGTTAGATCAGGACATCACTCACCGCTCCCCACTCTGGACCACATTCACAAATTTCAAGACATGATCATGACGACAAGCCAATCCAATAAGCCCAGTTTCATCACACCCCTTCCAAGTGGATTTTCCCCGTATATCAGCAGCAGCTGTGTGTGATGCTGTACAAGAGTCCTGAGCAGACACAAATTCATCAGACTTCTTCTAACCTTATGATATAAACATGAGGTGAATTCCATTCACATGAGGTGAATTGCATTCACACAAGGTGAATTGCATTCACACAAGGTGAATTGCATTCACACAAGGTGAATTGCATTCACACAAGGTGAAAGATGAAATAAAAAATTACTTACCCCTGGATCTCGAACTGAGGGTTTGCCACTAACTCGGACCTTCCACTCTTCCACCTTCTCATCATCCAGGAACAGAGGTGGAGTTTCCATTTCGTTTTCCTCATGCTCGCGGCTTGCAGCAAGATGTCGGCGGTGTTGAAAATTTCCATCGGTGCAGACATGATAGTCACACTCATCTGGATGCTCATTTGTTTGAAGCGGACCAAAACACCTGGGACAATTCATAGCCAGCTGGTCCAACGCCGTGAGATATAATGCACATATGGTGAGCTCCTTTATCTTGCGTAGCATTTTTCTATATGCATCAATAGCTGAAGAAAATGTATTTCGCCATTTTCGCGGCTGAAATGTTCTCATTGGCATCAGCAGAAAAGTAGATAAAATATACTCGTAACAAACAGATAAGAAACTTTTTGAGTACTTGCCTGTTTTGTTTTTGCAACCAACATCAATGGGTTCGCCGGGTCAAGAAATTCATCCAGACCAAGGGTAAACCCTTGGGTTCTAACAGTACAATATTTCCACAACGAGTGGTGCAACCTCAGCAATCTGATAGAGTACGCCACTTGTGGATGAACTGGTGAACCCCCAATGTAGCCCATCCGGATGAGGCGTACTTGATCCAATGTACATCCGCAGAACTTTATTTCCACTTGTTGACGTTCTGATAGATAAAAAATTTTAAACATAAGTTCCTAATGATAACAATATACGTTGATATAATCAGAGGACTCACCCAAGATGTCTACTATGTCAACCTTACGTGTCCTCAGGTCTCCCTCCCCGCAACTACATTCTTCATTGTAATCATAGTTCCATTTCAAAGTGTTTCCCCATTGGGATGTCGTCTGCGCCAGTTTCATGTAACATATAAACATCTGAGGTATAGCCTTCTTCCAGTTCTTATTTTCCATGATCCTTTTCCTTTTGTAATTGGATCCTGGAATATAAATAGAATTATTGACGTTTACATCCGGTTCCTGTTCAGGTTGCTGAGGAGCTGGAATGAAATTGTTGATGTAGTTATCCCCGAGATGAGCGTGGTGATCCTCGTGGTTTGCATCTACTTGCATCCGATTTCCATGCCCAGCTTCAACAAGCGCTTGTTCAATCTCTTTGATCCGGTTATTTACGTATTGAGCATCACTGGCTTCGACTTGTCCGGCAACTATTGCTGAGCCTTGAGGCTCTAGCTGATTACGCCTCTTCTTTTTGGCTCGACCTCCCAGTGGGCATTCAATCTTCTTGCCTTTGCCCATAGCGAGTTGGGTCGAAGTGGTTGCTTGAATAAACTTGAGATATCAATTGAAGTGTATATATATAAATAAAAAGATGAATTTCAAAAAAAAGGAAGGAAGGAAAGGGAACAACGATAGAATTTACGCATCAAAAGGGAAGAACATTATGATTAGATCCCCCCATCTTTTTACACCCCAATTGGACAGTGGTCTATGCCCCTGTCTACCAAAAAAACTAGACAAAGATTCCCAATATGGAAAACCCCGTCTCTTTGCTATGAGCCAAGCCACAATTTTCCCATCTCACCAATGTATCTTCATACAAACCCCCTGGGAATGGTCCGTGATGGATACAGTTAGCCATACACATTTGCACCCTGAAAGTCGATGAATTGATACATACAGTGACACCTGTCATTCTTCACGTTTTAGAATGTGACACCTCTTGTTAGTGGGGTCAATTGATTATACACAACGATTATACACACCCATACTCACCTATTGTTCAACTCTCACCTAATTCATTTTCCTGGTTAAATCAAAATCATCATTTGACCCAAAAATTAAACCAACCAACCAACACCTCCGCTAGAAATCAAACCTAGGCCTGATCATCATACACCCCTTCATAATGCGTAACACCCGATCACAAGCAGTGGCCACGTCAGCTCGTCGGACGATCACCTCGACCAGCAATTCCTCCCGTGGAAAACGCCAAGTGTCCAGAGGGTCGACCGATCCTACTTCGATTCGGAAACAAATCAAGATAACTACTCGTCGGGCAGTCACTTTGCCTCGCGAGGAAAACATACCCTTTGACGACGAGGATGAGGAAGAGGATGAAAAGGAAGATGAAGATGCTTTGGAGGCGCAGGAGTCAGATATATTAGATGATGAAGATGATGAGGAGGAGGAGGAAAGCGATTCAGAGGAGATCTTCAATCGTCTAGCCAATCGCATCAATACCTCTCGTCCAGGACAACCCATTAGCCCATCCAACGACAATCATCCCGCATCTACCGACGAAGATACACAGGATTTGCCGAGCATCAAAGAATACAAGAATGTAGTCGATCAGTGGCCACCAGCTCGAATCGCGGTTGTAGCCCGCTCTCAAAAGAGAAAAGGAACTGCGGTTCCTCCACTCATTTTGACTGAAGCAAAAGCCATTCGAAAACTTTACAAACAACATAAGGCCATGCTGAGTATTATGGGTAATATCAGTAAGTTCACACTGGATAAAGCACTGTAAGTTCACCGTACATACCTCGCTTTTTCACCTACCTTGATGATGTTAACTGAATCTTTTTGACCGATAACACAGAGGTGAGCTCGGTGGCCGACGAAAACCAGGATGCTATCAAATTTGGTTGAAGTACAGCAAGGAAAGGCAAAAACACAAGAGTAAGCCGTTTTTTTCTTTCAATATGTATCTATTGACAAATTATAGTCCCTGTTTTTAATGTAGCGCTTTGATCTCAAACAGTGCCACTGAAAGGAGGTCATAAAGGGATATTGGCGAAGCGCAATCGGGAGCTGGGCAAGGTCTGGAAAGCTCTTCCTGATGAACACCAAGAAGTTTTTCATCCTTCGGTGTTTTACACTTTATCTGGTCTAAACCCACCTTCTGGAGATTTCAATGATGATGATGATGATGATGCTGAGCAGTTTCAAGAATTAAATCTTGACCCAGAGCACCGCGCGGAGTTGCAAGAGCTGTATGATCAATTGGTCTGCAAACATAAGGTCGCCAAAGATTATGCCAAGGTGGCAGCTGGTATTGTACCTGGACCAAGCCTCCCTGACTACAATCGCCAATCATTGAAATGTATAGAACGCCTTCACACTCAGGTAATGAAGTTCCCTTATGATCACTTTTTTTCCGTTTGATTTTTTGACTAATCTTCCTAGGGAATATAGATTGATAATGAAGCAAACAACATGGACTTCTCCTACTCCCTCCTAGCCTGCAGCACTCATGCATCAACGGAGGCTTCTTCGGCATCACCTGGATGGTGTAGGGAGTTTACATCACATGAGGAGATGGCGGTATATGTTAATGCAAAGAGCAACTTTGCCACAGTCTTTGCAACCCGTGCTCAAGGGCTCTCTGTGGCGGAGGTAGTTGCTCAGACCATTGGAACAACTGCGATGACCAACTCCGAAAAAGCACGAAAGACCGACCCTGGTGATATAGTGAAGCGTGATTTAGCTGCTTTACTACGAAGTGACTTCTGTATGTATACTTCTAAAATGTACATACCATACAATGACGATGCTAATACTTACTTGTGGTGGAATTTTTCTACTTTAGCTGCTTTAATTGGAAAAGAACAAGGCTTTCCCCGTGGGCCTGACCCCGTCGCCATATTACGTGATGACTATAACCTCAAGATAATTCAAACTACGGGTTCCAAACTTACTAGCCAGATCTTGAAGCTAGGTTTCAATAAAATGAATAGCCGTCGAAGTCTTTGGCTTGAAGATGTCCGGGCTAACAACTTTAGAATGGAAAGGATTAATACACCTAATACTACAACTGAAGAAGACATCAACATGGATGAGTCAGCTGGAGAAGATCAAGTCACAATGACGCAGGACCAACCTCGAAATACAGCCGATGCCCACTTGCAGATGGACTTTGAGGAGGAAATGGAGGATCTAGAAGAAGAGGAGTGGAATGGCTTTGAAGAGATTGATGAGTCTGAATATGATTAAAAATTTGTATCTTTCTTCATTCTTTCAAATGATAATTATGTTTGACACGTATTTTCATTACTGCACCTGAATGACAAGATGTATCTGTCTTGAAGTATTCAAATGAGTCATAGTTTTGAGATGAATTATAAAAATTCTTCTTGGTTTTGGTTTGATATGTACTGAGAGAATCTGCAGAGAGATAACTTCGGAAAATGTAGGATTCACATCAATGTGAATCCGTATTCACATGAATGTGAATACGGATTCTACTCATCAATGGAGATTCACATAGAAATTACTTCCGAAATTATAGGGTTCACATTAATGTGAATCCTTTTTCACAATTAGGTGAATATGAGCTCTTTTCACAATTAGGTGAATATGAGCTCTACAAATCCATCGGTGTTCACATTGATGTGAATTATATTCACATCAATGTGATTACAGATTCACATTGATGTGAATATGTTTAGTTTGGTTTCACATAGATGTGAAATCGTGCAGTTTATGTTCACATTGATGTGAATATGAGCTCAAGGAAACATGAGGTGCATTGCCTCACGTACCTGGCTAAGTGAGGTATCTGGGATACCTCTAATATATGTGGTAATCTATATGGATATATAGAGTACCACACTCATCTAAGAGTACATCTGAATGTTTTCAGATGTACTGATCTGCTATTGTCTCTTGTAAAATTGAGACAATATGATGAGGACGCATCATCATTTCTCGAGTTTACAAGAGATTGCAGCAGATAAGTACATCTGATAACAGCACACTTTGAAATCAAAAACCTACACAGGTAATCTCATTTTGCCACAGTCGAACTTTCTTCTAATGTTCCATTTAGGTACACAATTCGGGTAATGTGTACCCTTGAAATAAAAATTACTTCTCACTACTGGCCCCAGGCATCCGCTAACTGGTGACTAACAAGTATCAACATAAACTAAAAGAAACTGGCTGATATCTAAAATTCAATCTGATCAAGATATTAGCGAGAATTGTCAATGATGTGTTACAGTACATCATTGACAATACCTGGGACTCGTATTCTTGAAAAGATATGAAGTGGCAAATCTTCCCCAGACATCCTCTAACTGGTAACACGTATCAATATAAGCTAAAAGACCTCTCTGATACCCAAAAAACCATCTGATCATGATATTAGTGAACATCAATTGTCAAAGTTGTGTTACAGTACATTTGGATTTGCAATACCTGTGACTCGTATTCTTGAAATGATATGAAGTGGCCACATCATCCCCAGGCATCCTCTAACTTGTAACACGTATCAATATATGCTAAAAGTACCTCTCTGATACCCAAAAATCCATCTGAACATGATATTAGTGAACATCAATTGTCAATGTTGTGTTACAGTACAATTGGATTTGCAATACCTGTGACTCGTATTCTTGAAATGATACGAAGTGGGCACATCTTCCCAGACATCCTCTAACTGGTAACACATATCAATATACGCTAAAGGTACCTCTCTGATTTCAACCACCCATTCAGATTATGATAACACATCAAATCAACAAAGATGTGTTACATCAAATCTAGAAGAATGAACTGATCATATGAATGATCAAATGAAAACATCTCTTGGACCGGGTGAAATCTTTAAGAAAGTATAATCTCTCCAATATTATATTTTCAAAGACTCAAAGGAATAATTGAAAATCAAATATGAGCACCACATCTGAGGTGCGCACTCCCGTATTCCCAAATTCTCTCTTTGTTACTCTGTACTACAGAATAACACATTGGTGTGATTCTGTTCACATCAAGGTGAACAGACCAAATACTCAAAGGAACAGTTGAATATCAAGTATCTTATATATCAGGTGCTTACTGCCGTACTCTCAATTTCTCATTTCAACCCTCCTAACTTTACATTCACTTTGGTGTGAAGATAATCACACCAATGTGAATGATACTTAAATTTTTCAGATTCTTCTCAAAAACTTAAGATATCTGATCCTTACTCCCGTACTCTCAATTTCTTATTTCAACCCTCCAAACTTTACATTCACATTGGTGTGAAGATAATCACACCAATGTGAATGATACTTAAATTTTTCAGATTCTTCTCAAATACTTAAGATATCTTATGCTTACTCCCGTAATCTCAATTTCTCATTTCAACCCTCCAAACTTTACATTCACATTGGTGTGAAGATAATCACACCAATGTGAATGTAAAATTTCTAAAGATCCTTTTAGATGAAAGATTCAATTTGATGTGAATGCAGTGCAAGTTTATTTCAGTTACAAAAATAATACTAAACCAGCATTTCCTTGGTGGTTCATTAACAACATTATTTACGCTTCTTCAAATGTTTTGAATTCAATTTATTGGTCGCCTTCTCAATCTTATCATCAAACATTTCCTCGTAAGATTTGACCCTTGCTTCACAGTGCTGCTTCCATTGAGATTCACTCATCCCTTCTTTCTTTTCACCTAGTAGCTTGATCCGGTTGACCAGGGCCTCAGAGATTTGGCAGGAGGACCCGTACAAAGTGACTTTACTTCGTTTGTGATCTGTCACCTTACCCATACCATCATAAGCGATGGAGGCCGTGGTATAATGCGGAATCTAAATACAAATGAATATCAATGTAATGTTCTGAGAATGGCCAGAATGAAGCAGTGGGATCACTAACCGTTGTATGCCATAAAAGATCGTACACCCCATTACAAACCCCGATTTCTACCTCAATTCGAAAACTATCAATACAAAATCGTGACCCTTCAACTTCACCTAGCTTCACCGCTTCTTCACCCAATTGGACACCTCTCTCCTTATCATAAGGTGCACCGGTGGCTCGGTCAATCAAAGACCACATTCCAAAGGCATATCTGGTATGATCTTTGTCGGTATGCGGGTGATTGTGAAACCCATCACAGGTAACTACAAGATTAGTTGCAAATACTCTACCATTTACAGTTGATTGCCATATTAAATCATGAAAACCTGGCACCTTTGCCTGAGATGCTAGCGAAACATTTGTCTTGAAAACCTTGAGAGACAAAGACAAAAACTGTTCGGCCCAGAAATCACGGATACGATGGAATTCTTCCATCCTTTCTTTGTCAGTTTGAATCCGTCCAATATTGGCAGACGTGAAGGCATTTAAAGCATAAGGACCTGCGCAGTAAAAGAAATGATATATAAGAAAAGTTATTGACCCAAATGAAATCAGTAGTATAAAATCAAATGTTGGAAACAATCGAACTCCTACTCACCTGCTGATTTGTTTTTCTCACAGCCACCTCGCCAGCCACAACAGCCCATCCAGCCACATAAAGGTTCTTCCTCCACATCTCCTTCTTCTAAATCATGTTTTTGCAAAGAGCTATGTATCTTGCACTGGTTTCTAGCTCGGGCATGAAGGAATGTTGTAGAGATTGAATGATCGTATTTTTCCCTAAGTTTGGTATCCATTTGTTCAAATGGAGTACACCTAACAATCAATACAATAGAAAGATCCTTTTTATTAATTACCACTACCGTTCCAGTGTTGATTAAAGTTTTAGTGGTTTCAGCTAAAGGTTGATCATTTATGCTATATCGAAAGATGAACTTAGTGTTTAAAGGCAATCCTAAATTTTCAATGAGTTTCTTCTTTAATTCAGTTCGCTTGGCGTGATGACGATAATAAGGCTTTCTGATGGTTTTTTCTTTTCAATATTTATCTCTGGACATGTAATAGCTTGGTGATGTTCTTGACTTGAAGCCGGGAACACGAATTCCGGATTTTTTCTTTCTGATAGTTGATTTTTTTCGTGTCATAGTGAACTTAGATAGAGTCAAATCTCGTTCCAAACCTATTAAGACATAATCGAAGCCCTGTGAATCAGTTATCAACATCATAATGATGCACCTCGATAAGGAAACCAAAAGGAATTCTTTTGAACGAACCCTTTAACAAACCGATTGGAAGGGAACACCTTTACTTGCTATATCGCGACGAGGAACGATGACGAGTGATAAACCACAATATGAATAAACAAGATGGGCTTGAACCCGAAAGAAGAAAGAAGTTATTTCAGTCTTCAATATCACTTACCAATCGAGATCATGATGGAAACTTGATACCACTTACCAAGGTTTGATTCCTACTGCAGAGAGCTAAAATCGAGAGGTACCAGTTGAAGTCAAAGCACGTAAGCAGATGGAGACTTGATACCACTTACCAAGGTTTGATTCCTACTACAGAGAGCTAAAACCGAGAGGTAACACTTGAAGTCAAAGCACGTAAGCAGGCCAGGGATATCGGACTGAGAGAAAGCGATAGATAAACGACTTGTTAACGTAGATCTTCAACCTAGAGATGGCCAAATTCTCCCGGTTCGTAGCACGGAGTCCAACAACGAAGGAGAAATCAGCTCAGTCCCTTGGTACGAAGATCTCGCAAGTTAAGTCTAGTGATGAAATAGAGAAGTATCTAATGAGATATTGATAATGCTATTGCGAATTTCAGGCCGAACAGACCGCGCTTACGTACCATACTTGGACTCGTAATCCCAGCCTAAAAATCCACATATGGTACGTAAGCGCGTAGTACAAGTACGGGTTAGGTTTCGGCGTAAACCCATAACCATAGTAAACCCATCCCTCTACGGGAGTAAACCCTCCCGGTTCTATTTCCACTGCACATCCAGACCGACCTACTATACCACCAAGTATTCAACTTTGATGTCAGCAAACCGCAAACAGATGGACATATTCAACTTCCGTTTTGGTCAATTCAATTCCCTGGGTTGCTTCAGACCTATGGAAGTCCATGAATTCCATAATGGAGTCGGGAAACCTCTTACGATCGACGATTTCCATTTCAACGACAGATTTAGATCAAACGGATGGGGTTTGGAAAAACCCAACCATCCGAACTCGATTCGGTCACCAATTCGTAATTACCAAGTCAGTGATCTCCGTTTTTCTTCATAATTCAACATTGGTTACTAATAACTCTTATTATCTAGAATCATGATGAAAGTTGGGATGGCGAGTCCCTGGAAAGATATTGGTCAAACTTTCCACAAGTTGATCAAGTAAGTAAATTACTTTTTTGAGAGGTTATTAATCCAGTTTGCTGTTGAACTAACATCGTAGCTTCATATTTAGCCAGATCTGCAAGGAAGGGAAATACCCGGCAAACCGCGACTTCCTTCCAAGGCCAAGAAAAACCGACTCCCACGCCTTGCTCCTTGGTATGCTCGAAAGACGGAAATCAGTCATCAGCAAGTCAAGTGGAGAAGAATAAGACGAATAGTTTGAAATATATGAATTTTGGGTTGGTAAAGATCTTGTTCATTCGATAGATTGGCAAATATCAATAAGATTCGATTATAAATTGGAAAAGAGCCGAAATTTTGATTGATATCTACTTCTCAGTTTGGGATTTTATTAGAATTTGAATGATAATATTTTCTATTTTATGATGACTCGAAATCGGGGAGAGAGACTAATATCAATTCCCATCTAAGATTTAAATTATATCAATATATGATTTTCACATGTCTGTGAATGTTTTTCACATATATGTGAACTATACATATATATCAAGACAGATATCCAATTGTGATTCACACATATGTGAATGGGATTCACACATATGTGAATGGGATTCACACATATGTGAATGGGATTCACACATGTGAATGGGATTCACACAGTATGTGAAAGAATTTCACACATATGTGAATGGGATTCACACATATGTGAATGGGATTCACACATATGTGAATTTCACACATATGTGAATGGGATTCACACATATGTGAATGTGACTTACAGATGTGTGACAAATATTAACATATGTGTGAAATACAATCACATATATGTGATTGTGATTCACATATATGTGAATCACAATCGGATATTTGAATATTTTTGGAAAGGTATTCACCTCTATGTGATTATTTTTCACCTCTATGTGATTGTATTTCACGCATATGTGAAAACTATTCACATATGTGTGAAAAATAATCACATAGAGGTGAATACTCTTACGCATATGTGAAATATATTCACATATGCGCGAAGAGTATTCACCTCTATGTGAAAGACTTTCACATATATATCAATATTTTTCAACAATATGTGAAGGATATTCAACTATGTGTGTATCCTTCACATATTATTAAATATCTTTCACATATGTGTGAACAATATTTTCACGCATATGTGAAAAAAAAAGCTTTCACATCTATGTGAAAGCTTTTCACACATATGTGAATATTTTTCACATATGCGTGAAATACAATTACATATGTGTAAAGAAAGATTTTCACAGATATGTAAAGATCTCCTGGATCACACTCACATATGAACACATCATCCTTCAAAAATATGTGAATGTTTAGGTGATTATATGTAAAGAAGATGTGAAGTATAATCACCTAACTGTGAAGGAAAACCATTCACATATGTGTGAATGCCTTCACATATATGTGAATGTATACGTACATATCAATCACATATATGTGTCTCATAATCACATATGTGTGATTGTGAGGTTTCTCTCTCAGATATATGTAAATATGAGATACAGATGTGAAAGTCATTCACATATGTGTGACAGAGCTTGGTATATGTAATCTCATGGATCACGCATATGTGAATGAGTGTCACATACAAGTGATCCATGAGATTACATATGCCACAATCTGTCACATGTGGGTGATCACAGAAATCACCCATATGTGAAATCTAAGGATCGAAATCCTGGGGTGAAAAGTTTTCACCGAATCACCCCAGGAGTATTTCTCTTCCCCATTAAATTCAATATCACCTCGAGACTTCACCTCAAGATGGAAGAAACACCAACTGTGGAGAACTCTGCCGATTGTACTGCTGCCAATACTCGTACTGCTAATACGACTACTCCTGATACGACTACTGCCAATAGGACCACCGCTGATCAGAATCCTGCCGATGCAACTACAACCGAATCTTCACTTACTTGTCTTCCACCTCCTGCAGGAGGTTCCTATGACACCAGTGCCGCCGCAGAAATCTTCCTCAAGAACTTCGCAAGTGATCATCATTACGCTTTATCATCGATGGATTCGAAGCCAAGGTTCAAGAAGTGGAAATGCGTTTTAGGACCCAATCAAAAGCAATTGCTGAAGCTTGTTGAAGATCCCCAGGCATTGATCCCGACTTGTCCTTTCTCAGTTTCCGCCAAATTCGAAACGAGTGACCGAACCTGGACGATCATCGTTAATCATCCTAATCACGATCATGGCCCCATACCCAACTTGAAACCGCCAAAGCTCCCAAGTCTGGAACCCACCATTGCTAAGAAACGAAAACAACGAAGTGATGCGATAGTACTTGATCTTACTTATGAATCCGATGGCGCCGACGAAACTACTGAAGAGCCTGTAGATGATTACAAGACGCTGATCACCAAACTGAAGAAACTGGATGTGAATACCCGTGCATCGCTAATGGGGCGGTTCTTGCGAGATTGTGAGATTGCCCTTGAGGTTTGCGATGCATCAAAAGAACCAAAGGTTCAACCCAAGATTGTAAGCTAGCTTGTTTTCCTTCTTCTATCAGGTTGCTAGTGAAGATAGGAATCTGATGATTCGATCAAAAATGACTACCTCTTTAGGAAGGAACGAATCAACACAAAATTACCTCCGAATCTACCACCCCCAAAAAGGTTGAAGAGAACGGCAAGGTTAGTATATAGCTTTTAATCAATCAATCTCTTTGATTAGTCAAGTAGCTGAATGTTTCCCACTGATAGCAAAAATCGAAACCAAAAGCCAAAGTTTCTGTACAGCCTGAAGCACCTCGAAAGCAGTCTGGCGACTGCAAAGTAGTTCACGCCCCGATTATGAATGAGGAAGATGATACCATGGCAGACGATGCCCCGGTTACGAATCAGCAGGATGATATTGAAGTGTCTACCTCCGAGAAGCAGCAAGAGGTTGCTGATCACCCTGAAAGGGATGATCGAGCTGACTCCCCTCTCACCTCTCAAGGTGATATTCCTTCACCTGTCACCGCTCGTACTCGGCAAGTGGCTCCTCCGGATAAAAGGTCGAGCTCTGTCAAAACTCGTAAATCGGTCAGAGTTACCTCACAAACTATGGAAAGTATAGTAAGTGGATGACTTTGAGAATGTTTGCCTTATCGATTATCTGACAAGCTGACTTTGATGCAGCAGGATCAGCCTGCAAGCAAGAGGCCGAAACGCTCCGAGGTCCCGAAGAAGTCTGAACCCATGCCGAAAAAGTCTGAACCCGTGCCGAAAAGGTCAGAACCTGTAAGTTATTATTTGAGGTGCTCGCTTTCATTGGTCTCCAAAGCTCCAGGTGGATTTCTCTATTTGGATTTTGCTGACATACCAATTAGTTCTCCCTTCAAAATATATCCTCCGTAGCAAAAGAAGAACTCGAAAAACAAAAACAACAAAAAAAAAAAAACTTGTAAATGCTAAACCGGAAGAACAGGTGTTGATAGTGAGTATCTCAGCTCAGTATATGTATCACAAAGAGTTTTGATATACTGAATCACCAATCCAAACAGAAATGGGATTTTTTAGAAACGCTTCCTAAGATACTCTATCCATTTGTCAAATCAGCAACAAATGTTAAACCGAACGGACTGTGTGCTTTTTCTTCTATTGCGGTATCCCTTGGATGGCCTGAACAGGATGCTGTAAAGGTGCGAGCATTGATGGCTGCCGAGGTGCGAGAGAACTATGAATGGTACGAGGAGAACTTGCCGAAAATCAGCGCGTGTGGCACGACTATCAGCCATATGTTGGCTATACTGGAAAATCGGAAAGGATACGCACCACGGCGATTGTGGTATCCAATGCCGGGTGGCTGTTGTGTTATCGCAAATACGTTCAAGAAACCGGTAATATCATATTCTTCCAATCTTACTGGATCATGCACTACACTCCCTTTTTTATCAGGCCCAAAAGGATCTACTCGACCCATCATTATGGCTGTCATCTGGAATTCCCACTGTATCTCTCTGGACCTCGAGTTCACTCCAACCCTACCGATTCCATACATCCATCCAGACTGGTCGACTTTGAGCACTCGTAAAGCTAAGGGTGGTTGGGAAGGTTTTTTTGATGATAATATTAAGGTGTATAGAAGATGGCGCAAGGAGTCCAATTCAATTGTTAATCCAAACTGTGCAAGGGGTGTGATATCGGATGATGATGATGAGGATGATGAGGATGAGGATGATGAGGATGATGATGAGGATGATGAGGATGATGATGATGATGAGGTATGAGATTCTTGTAATATGGAATTTTTAACTTATCTCAGAAGGTAAGAAAGACAAACAAAATAATGAATAGGAATAGGAATGGTTTGGAGGTGCTTTTTGGAATACTAGTTTTTATATGCGGTTAGGAGAATATCTTGTAAATATGTCTGCTTTTATGTGTTTAGAAATCATAATTCAAATTTGAATTGCGTATGGGCATTGGGGATGAGCCAATCTTTAAATTGAACCACTTCAAACATTGAACCCAGATCTCATCACTTTCACATATGGGTGAATGGCCTTCACCCATATGTGAGAGTGATTCACATATGGGTGAATGGCCTTCACGCATATGTGAAAGTGATTCACATATGTGTGAAAGTGATCACCCATATGTGAAGGTGATCACTCACATATGGGTGAATGGCCTTCACCCATATGTGATCACTTTCACCTATGGGTGAATGGCCTTCACGCATATGTGAAAGTGATTCACATATGTGTGAAAGTGATCACCCATATGTGAAGGTGATCACTCACATATGGGTGAATGGCCTTCACCCATATGTGATCACTTTCACCTATGGGTGAATGGATGTGATCACTTGCAAATTCACATATGAGTGAATGTACTTCACCCATATGTTATCACTTTCACCTATGGGTGAATGGCATGTGATCACTTTCACATATGCGTGATCTGAGTGCACCCACATGTGAACATAATTGAATATGGGTAAATGGGATTCACCCAAATGTAATTATGTTGATGTATGGATGATTTACCTTTCTTCATTATCACATACATATATGAAAATGATTCCATATCTCAAACTCAATCAGATATTGGATACTTTTCACATATGGGTGAACCAAAATCACCCATGTGTGAACATGATAATGGCATTCACGCATATGTAATCATGTTGAGGTATGGATGATTTCTATTTGTGGTCACATAGGTGTATTTCGTTGGTTTTGTATCTACATCTTCCATATCTAATAAATTATTTCACTTATATGTGTTGGTAATTCACACTAATGTGATAGAATTTCACACTAATGTGATGCAATTTCACCTCCATGTGAATGACATTCACATCAGTGTGAATTTGATTCCTGAAATTTCGCGTGGGTATATGTTGTCCTTGACCATATGCCAATATGTGGGCATAGATGGTGTTACAGGTCCTCACAGGTCATGTAGCGGTGGATAGAGTACTTAGCGGTGAGTTTTGATCCGACGCGTCGGGGCGGCGGCGCGTCGGACAGGGGGGTTTTGGCTATAAGTCGATAGGAAGTACACATTTCCTATCGACTTATACCCGACGGGTCGGGTAGGCACAGGTGTGTTAAACAGCCTCAAATGACATGGGATAATGACTGCTTCCAAGTCACTCTTGGACTAGCTTCATAATCACCAAGTTGAGTTCTATAATATCAATCTCAAGTAACTTTTCCGCCCAAGGAGACCAAGGTCAAGTCGTTATGGAACACTGAGAAATCAATCACTTAGTGAACAGCAAAAAGGGCATATTGATCTTCAGAAGATGATCCAAAGTTGACATTCTCAATTAGATGTTGGTAACTTGCTCATTAACAAATGGGAATGTAATTTAATTTGGACTGTAACATTTCATGTATGTTTGCTAACGGGTTGGATCTTTTGTTGCCCTTCTTTCCAGCTGTGATGTCATTGCTGTTTACCAACCAATCTGAATTCAATCCCATTGTGTTTACTATTGTCTTTTCCTTTCCTATCTCATTTCTGTTTTTTGTTCTTCATATCAAAGCTTTTTGCGCCCACCCACCCTGTCCCTGTTTTATTCAAAATCAATTACCTTTCTTTTTGTTTGTTGATTGTTTCTTTTATGTCTTGTTTATTGTTGTTGGTTATGTTCATGTAGTATTGTGTTCTTTGTGGCTCAGCTGTCTTTGTTTGATCTATCTTTGATCTTTTTGTGTGTCTCTGGTGTTTTGTTATGATCTTTCTTATTATTATTCTCATCTTATCTTATATTGTGCTTTTAATTTCCTATTTAAGTTGGGTTTTTCCTTAGTTCTTTAGCTATGATACGGCTTCAAGGGTTTGGTTCCTCTTTTTTATATATTTTTTCTTATTCTATATTGTTATCAGGTAGTGTGTTATAGTTTATTATGTCTAGGGCCCTAGCCACCCTGTAGGGTGTTTTTTGTTTCAAGTAATTCATAACCCTGGGCTGTTCTAGCCCAGGGATATGCCCAAAACCACTTGTCTTTTAGTTGTTCCAGATATTGAGTATCGTAAGTCTTTATGAATTATATTTCATATAATTTGATTATATACCAGATCAAATCAATGATTCAGACTGTGAGATTGTGATATGTTGGATTGGATATCAGTGGATGCTTTCAAAGTTTTTTTCATTGAATTTGAATGACATTATGTAACTCAATCATTGTCCTACACTGTTTCTTGCTCTGTTCTTGTTTTTCATCTGTCAATATTACATCATGTATGTTGTTACATCACTGATCCTATGATGTCATACATTGATTCATTTTTTGTTTTCTCTTTATAACCTGACCTCAAACAATAATCAGATATTTTTCCTTTTTCTTCATCTGATTGCTTCTTCTAACAATCTTACTTTGTTTTGTTTGTTTCTCATCTTACTTCTAAGATTGTTCTGTGTTTGGAATAAGCCCAACATAATACTTGTGAGTAAATTGGTTGAATACATTCTTGAGTTGCAAAGCAAAACTGTTGATAACTGTGATGCAACCTCTCATCAGGTGCTCTTTGACATCATCTACTGTTAGCCATCATGGAGACTGCAATCTAGAGTTCCCAAATACCGCTGCCAATGTTCCATGACTTCTGCAATGCGGTAGCTCTCTCTATAGTCCGCACAAACTCCCAAATACCAACTGCACTTGTTTTCACTACTTGGGAAATTTCAATTAGTCTCTGCACCACACCCCTCAATCAAAAAGATGTGATAAGACTGTTGACTCAGAGTTGGAGTGTACACAAATCAGGGCTAAGTTTTTTACGCTTTAATGCTCTATATAAGCTGGAGCACCAGGAGATTATGTACATCATTAGGCAAGATGCAAGGCAAGAGAAGCAATGATGTTCAGTCATACAGTCAGGATTTCTCACTGTTCTCAATTTGTCATAGATACGACACAAGTTTAGATTAAAATATCAAAGTTGTTCCCAATGCCACAGGAACATCAAACACCAAAAAAATGTTTCTGTAGACAATTAAGAAGACAAACAAGTCAATACAAGTGAATTTGAGATAAGCCATTTTGCATCCTCTACATTAGACCAAAGATCTGAGATCACGAAGCAAAAAATATAGGCAGAGCAAAAGAAGGATAACTTCTTTCCGACGCTAGCCATTCTCACATCCATTTTCGGGGGCGGCACCCATAAAACTGCTGCGGTTGTACATTTTTGTCATATTTTCAAGTTTCTATATCACTATCATTACCAATAATCAGCATAGGCAGAAGAAGAAAGATAAAGCAGTTTTCCGTGTTGTTTGGTTTATTACGAAAGATGGAACGAATCTGCGCCTTCTCTCATGGCGATATCCAGCTTTTGAGTTGCGACATCTGTGCTTGAGTATTCTGGTAGTTTGAGATACTGTAAATCAAAAGGATCATATCAGTCCAGGCTGACAAAGATACAACAGCAAAAAAGCAGGTTACCCACATTCACACATGTCATCACTGAAGGAAGGTACTCATCGGGCACATGACCAGACTCAGCGGCTTTGCGAACCACTGTTAGTGGAGGATGAAGGCCTCGGAACCCTCCAATCGGTAATTTGGGTGCGCCTGAGCCAAATCAGCAAGCAGAGTGCATTAGTCAACAAAACAATACGATATACCCGAGAAAGGATACCCACCAGTGATGAATTGGAGAAATTCGCGACGTGAGGTGACATCGTAGGTCGACATGATCTGGATGAGATCACGGATCGCGCGAGATTCCATATTGTATCCATGATCAGCACGCATTGACGAAGTCAAGGCTGGAAGCCGGCAAGGAAGGAAATTAGTGTCAATAGGGCTTGTCAGAAGCGGGACGTTCAAGGAAGAACATACTTTCGGCTGACCAGTCCTCCATCTCAGCATTCCCGAATATATTCACAATCTCATCTGGTGTGAAACTCTTCAAGTCTCGAATTGGGAAAACCGTAGAGAATCCACTCTTGAAGACTTCCAGCTGCTTTGCCACACCTTTCGAAAGCGTCCAATCAATCACCAAATCAATAAACTCTTCGATGTTTCCAATCGTGACCGTTTTATCGCTTCCATCTGGCTTCATTTCGATTTCATCATATCCAGGTAAAACAAACTCCAATGCAAGGTCTTCTACTGTGGCTCCATCAATTCGAATGACTTTGATAGCCTCTTCAAGCTCGGAGCCGCTTAGTTCTGCCTCCAAGCGCCGTTTTTCGACTACATACTGCATCAGATGTTCCAATGACCCTGCCAGAGCAGAGTCTACCAACTTGACGCTTTCGATCGTCTGAGGTACCTCGTAATCGAGTACCAATTTCGCGAAACTTCGACTAAGACTGATATCCACAATTCTTGAATCCATCAATGCTTTAGCCATAAATTGTCCCAAGACCTTGAATTTCTTCAAACGTTCCAGTCCTGATTCGCTTTCACACATCTCTTGGTCCATCGGCGCCGGGAAAAGTCCAGTCTTACTAAAGACATGTACACTATCACTACTGCCCTCATGATCTCGCCACATCTTGTATTGGCGTTCTGCAAAGGCCTTCGATGCTAGTGAAAAGAATTCTAGCGTAGGTCTGCACGAAGTAAACCCATCCGTATTGTTATCAATTACTAATGGCGAAACATAAAGGGATAAAGCAAAAATGTCACTGACCCTAAACCAGTTCCTACTTCGTCGAAATATTCGACTTCTAACATCGCCCGACAAGAAGAATACAACTCGAAGACTTTGATCAAGGACTCCAAGATCTTCTGACGACTTATACGAACTTTTTGTCGTTGGAGTCGGCCTAGCAGGCCCAAGTTTTCATCTCGTCTTGAGCTGTCCGATCTTGCTTGGCCGACCCATTTCTGAATTAGACGCTGAATCAGAGAATAGCGAAAGATGGTGAACATATGCTATATGTTGAAGATGAAGGCAGATGACTTACTGCATAGCCGAAAGAGGTACTTTGTAGGAATGAGAATCTGTGGCAGATCATATACACAAGAGGTTAATACTCATAGTAGTCTGGCAAATCATGGAAATCACTTGCCTGGTCTCGAATGGAAATAAGAAAGGGAATTGCTGCGGTAAGTCGCACGCCCAATCTGGCAAACAAGCGCTCGCTACGATCATAGGTTCTTCTAATTGTCGATTCAGCTTGGCGGTCAGTTTGTTATTGATAAACACGGCTTCCGCTTCGGCCATGTTCCGAGCCGTTGCACTCGTTCCTTGGAGCTCAGCCCAATCAAGATTGAGAACATAGAGAGCTCTCAACAAGCGAAGGATTGCAGCCTGTTGAGATCCCTCGGGGATCGAAGCTGGAAGTGAGCCAGCTTCTTCGCGTGATCCAGGAGTGACGGATGATGCGTCCTCATTCAAAGTTGGCGCTGGCCCGTCATGTTTGCGATAAGTCACAGTGTAGACGTTGTTCCATAGATTTCTTCCGGCTGCTTGTCCTCCGCCAGTCTGTAACTCGTGAGTGTAGACTGCACCATAGATCGTGGTGTCAAGAGAGATAGCCTGACCACCGAGACTGAAGGTAAGATGCCAATCCTTAGGCTCAGCCTTGACCGCAGCGGCGTATGAGGACTTGGATGGACGCAAGCTGCTCGCACTGCTGGTCATCATGCCCACCAAAGCATGCCCTGAATGTTTCGCAAGGGATGAAGGAGGTCGGCTACTTAATGGAGTGGCAACGCGAGTGCCATGAGGGGTGTGAACTTCAATCTTGGTGCCATCAGCTGTGGGCTGGACATTGATCGGAGGCTCGTCATTGGAGTTGGATTGCTGGGAATCCATAACATCCTCATCAATAGGTCCAGATATCTGCTCATCTACGTCCATGATGTCGCCTCGACCACGATCGTCGACATTGAGAAGTGCAGAGGTTGAAGCTAAAGGGTCGGTAGCAGAGACTCTTGAAACAGCATCTTGATTGAGATCATCAGCGGTCAAACCCTTCCCACTGAGTCTAGAGCTCCGGCGAGGGACGTAGGAGGTCTGAGCCGAAGATCCATCAGTATTTCCAACAGTAGGCGTGGCGGTAGGGGCTGAAGAGGAAGGTGACGCAGTAGGGGGCAGGTTCGAATGGGATTCATTTGTTGAAGGAAGGGTAAAAGCTGAGGCCGAATCGGGAATTCCAGATGAAGCGACTGAGGAAGGTAAGCCAGCCGCTGCAGCAAAGGCTGCGAGCATGCCAGATAGGCGACCTGATGATGATGGTCGACCAAGACGTTCGTCATCTTGTCCCTTGATTATCCGTGGGCGAAGATAATCGCTAAAGGCCTGGAAGGTAGCGATTGCATGGATAGAGACCACAACATTCGCACAATTCTTCGGGACGTCGGTCCCCTCTGCAGCAACTAGTCGGATTTTCAATTGCCTAGCCAACAAGGAGGCCGTGCTGCGTCTGGAATCTGATGAAATATTAGGTGAGAAGGAGTACCGATTGGTTTAGGAAAGCAAAGAACGCTTACCATCTGGCGTACTTGCAACGGCTGTCAAAACTTCGAATCCTTCCAGGCGGCCTAGGGACTCCTGAAGACGTTTGACCAATGGTACATACGCAGGGCTGCTGTCAAATGAGCCAATAAAGGCCTTGGACAATAACGCTCGGCGGGTTACGAGGCTTGCTGCGAGGATAAGTGGACGGACAAGAGATCGACCTTAGCATGCCTTGATCTAAGAATAGATAGATAAAGCAAAGGGATGATCTTACGTCCGAACGCTCGGGTTTCGGTGGCGTACCGCAACAAGCTTCCCACAAGACCACTTTCTGACAACTCGAAGCTCGAAACTGGATTCTCGTGTTGACTGAAGAGCTGTGCAAGTTCCTTCAATAAGGTTGCAGCTTCATGCTCGGAATCAACAATTGATAAAGATTCGGTGATATTACGAATATGATCCAGCATCGCCTGAGCTTTCAAAGACGCGCTGGTTTCTCCACCAGCATACCTATTCCTCAACTGACGCGCTCGATAGATGGGCTGGTCGCGGGTTCCGGAACTTGAGCTTGAGGAGTAGGCAGCCGCGAAAGCTTGTAACACACCACTACGTCTAGAAGACGAAGCCATGGGAACTTGAAGCGATGATGAGATGAGTGAGGATGGTGGATAGTTGTCGATGAGAGCACTGGCTGGCATCGTCGAGTGGAGGCTGTCCGATTCAGTAGATGAAGCAAGAGATTGATGTGATAACTTGTGCTTAGAGTTGGAGGAGCTCGGTGACGATAGAGATTGATCTGCTAGCCGATCCACCTCATGCATCACGCCCTCGCGTCGAAAAAAGAAGTGATAGTCGTCGGGTAACTTGCATAATAGCAAATCAACCATCTGTAGGGCATGAAGTACTAGAGCCGTCTGATCCCGATTGGCAAGAATCGAGGCTAGAAAGCTGGCCATCGGTATCGGCTTAAGTGTCTTGGACAGGTAATCGGGTTGGTTGAAATACGCGATCTTGAGCATTGCCACGAGGGCTTTGACCCGGATTGTCGAGCTAACGCTGGCACCATATACTTCCAATAATGTTGGCAGTAGGAGTGCGTTGAGACGGCGGACCGTTACTTCTCTGGCGGGTGACTCAAGCAGCTCGATTCGATGTGCGATCATTGCTTCTTTGGTCAACTCCTTAGTCGAAGTAGGTGAGCCATGTGAAGCAACTAAGCCAAGTACAGAGGAGATATCGGGTTTTATGTCTTCTTCGAGGGCGGGTTCAGGATCTGGCATGGGGACCTCCGATGGGGTCACATCAAGCGGAGCAGTGGAAGACGGCGCGACTTCCTCTTGTTTGATCGAGATGGACTCTGGCAAGAGTTTTTTGGCGAGCTTAGGGTCGAAGATGCCGTCTGGACACGACAAATCGGCTGTCAGAAGCTTGATTAGAGGATTAAACAGAAGATGCACTGACCTTTTGGCAAAGGTGGCAATACTTCTACTATAAGATCAATCGCTTGCTGGATTTGTCTGTATGGCAAGATTGACCGAAGAACAGAACAAGTCAGCCAAAGTTTTAAATCACGATCAATGCAACACAGACGGGATCCTTACGCTTTGTCCTTCCGCATCAATGCTTGAGTGATAATTGAAGAATTTTTGGTTAGTTCGGACGCAAGATCGTACTCGTCAGTGAGGTCAGGAGGGAGTTGGCCGACAAGAATTCCGTAAATCGTGTCAGCAAGGCCAGCATCAAGTAAGTTGATAGCCACTTCGGCACTACTCCGACCGATGTTGGTGAATGACTTGAGGATAGCGGAAAATATGCTATCGCTGATCTTGGTGCCACCAATCGGAGATAACAAAGAGGTGAGAGCCGTCAAGACATCGGGTGTTAAAAGCTGCTGAAGCTTATCAGGATGATGTCGATACGAATCGGTGACACGAGTGATGGCGAGCACAGCTTGCTCGGAGACCCGTTGATCTGAATAGGAGAGCACGTTACGAAGAATTGGAAACACCTCTCGAACCATTGGAAAGCTATCAGCTGAGACTGAACAACAACAATTAGCAGCAGCGGTCACTGCAGTACGCTGAACGTTTGTAGAGAAGAAATCGAGATATTGTAATAACGCGGTAAGGCCACCTTCACGAACTATCGACGCGGGTAGTTCTTCAGAGATTTTCTCCAGAGTCTATATATGTTGTGGGCCAAAGTTAGCATGACACTATTCATCCTTGTATACAGAGGATCGTTCACTCGACTCACACTGAGAGACTGTTCGGCCAAGTCGATAAAATTGATCTCGAGAAGCTTCGCGCACAACACCGGGACTGCACCGTGATGAACGACGGTGTGAGCACTACCCGGGAGAGCTTCCATCAAATTGGCTAAACATCTTGATGCTAGTAACATCTGTTCTACATCACCACCACCGCTCGAATTACCATATGTGTCATTTCCAACACTGGCAGCCAGTGCAGCTACCAAAGCAACCTCCTCTTCCTCTTCTTCCTCTCCCTCATCGTCATCATCCTCTCGCGCTCGGTCTCTTCCAGTTTGCCCCTTGAGAATAGCTACCAACTCACGTGCAAAAGAATCGGTCTGAAAGTAACCTGCTAAGGTATCTTCGGTGCTGACTGCGAGGATTTCAGCGAGTTCTTGCAAAGCTACCAGTCTGTCCGTCGAGGCGTTAGGACCTCTAGCCTTGAGTGAATTGAGAATATTCTTGAGGCGATTTGTGAATCCTGCCATGATACCACCGAAGCCGCGCAGACTATTGAGGCCGATTGAGTCGAGTCCAGCGAGAGTACCTGTAAAAGGACAGAAAACAAGGATGAGTGATAGTGAGAATGATGAAAGAGGGAGTACGTGGGTATCCCTCTTCCACCCTGTTGCTCACCATTGCTGGTATAACCAAAACCACGAGTACGAGTGGACGCACGATCAAAACCAAACAGCGCTTCACTTGCACGCAGGGCGGCCATCTCAGTCTCATCCATCTCGTCGTCGTCTTCTTCGTCATGAATCGAAGCATGATCGTGATCGTGGTCCATATCATCGCCATAATCGTCATGAAGGTCGGCGTGATCGTCCTGCAAGTCCTGGTCTTCATGATCACTGCCACTTCCTGTATCCCCCTCGTCATCTTGCGAGGCATCGTGGTGTTCATCTTCCATCAGAACTGCGTCGTCAGAGATTGCTAAAGCCGTTTCTTGAATTGGGACCGGGCTAGCGACTTCCATTTCAACGTCGTTGTCATTCTTGGAAGAATTGAGAGTTGTCGAGGTGGGATGAAGTAACGAAGCAGAGTTCGAAGTGGAGGCCATCGGAGAAGGGTGAGAAGCTGAGTGAGCTTTTTCTTTCAGGGCGGTCACAGTGGTACCGAGACTGGACTTCCTGGATCGACCTTTACGAGGCATTGTTTCGTTGAAAGGAGAGGATGCGCGAGGGGTAGGTTGCTTTCCCTTACCCTTTTCGGAAGTCGAAGCGGACTGGGTGATTGAAGTGAGAGATGATCGATTGCGAAGGTTGTAAGTCGAAGGTGTTTGTAGATGATTGTCAGTTGTGGTTGATTTCGAAAGGGTGGCGCGGGATCGTTTGAGACAGGGCTTCGGACTAGATAAATTGCGGTTTGGAGAAGAAGAAAGCGATCGGGCCCGACGTTTGCCAGATGCAATGGAGCTACGAGTATATGAAAAGATGAAGATGGGAAGGGAAGGTCAAGATGAGTAATTTGATAGAAGAGAAGTAAGTAGAGAGTAAAAAATGACCTTGTAGTTGGATTCGCCACTGCACCGGTTGTTGGAGAATGCGGTTGAGGATAGAACGAGGTTGAGGTTGAACTTAAAGCCGATTGTTTGATATCTGGGTTGAAGTGATCGGGATGAGATTCAATTGGGGTAGTGGTGATCGAAGAGTGGGTGGTTGGAGAGAGATGAAGCTGAAGAGGAGCTTAGATAGGAATGAGAAGTGAAGCAAAGGTGGTGTAAGATAGGTAAAGAGAGTAGCAAGTTTAGATAAGAGAAGGAGAGATGCGAGGAAAGTGTCAAGGATTACGGATTACGATAGAAGGCTCTTATCTTCTGAGGTAAGAAGAATCACCTCAATCCGACGAAGATGACAATCGGTAAAGAGGAAAGTCACTGACCTGTGGAGAAGTTGTTTTTGGTGGTAAAACTATTAGTAATCGAATTCTGCTTGACTTGAATTTCTTCGGATTCGATACTTTGGTCTTGTTGGAGATGAAGGTGATTATCGATGTTGCTAATGAGATTGCTAGGATTGGTTTCGATTGAGTTGTTAATCGAAGTTGAATCCATCAGTTGTAGGTCTTGATCACGTCGAAGGATGCCATCGATCGCATCAGATGAGATTGGATTGTACTATGATGAATTGTTTGAAGCAAACAGGATGACTGGTTGGTAAAGAGCTGGTGAAGTCAATCAACCCAAAATCTCAACTTTAAAGGGTAAAATCAAAACTGTCAATCTATGTGTAAATCAAAACCCTTTGATCACTCCAAAACCTCCAATTTCTCTTCTCATCTTCTCGTCGTCATCATCACCACCAATTTATCAGAGTACTCTGACTACAGACAGACAACCTCAATCCTTTGATCATTCAATCTTTCTTGAATTCGAGCTAGTCTCGCTTTGAAATCACTTTGAACAATCTCGTATGTACATCAGTCAACTTTTACTCGTCACTTCAGCAAAAGTAGATTCAACTGCACACTTAAAAGAGTGGATGCAGCGATTGTAAAACTCTAGAATCCACAAAAAGAGAAGGCATCTTCAAGTAGATGATGTACATAAAAAAATGCTGAACAAGGGTTTTGGTTGAGATTGAGCTGCAACAACTTGGAATTGTAAAGAGGGACAAAGCGGAAAGGAATGCTAAGTTTGTGGTTCCAAGTGATTGAAAAGATATGAGTAAAGATTCTCCAAGTTCCAACGAAGGAAGTGATTTCAATTAATGAGCCGCAGATGACTCCATCTTCGACATGGATCCATAGAGGGGCGGTGGAAGACATTTCTCCAACACGACTTTAACCTTACTTGACCAGAAAGCAGAATTAAGGCCAGGACCATGAATTCCATTGCAAGAGCTCTTGCCAAACCAGGACATCACCCTTTATTCCCCATTGTCCAACAGGCGCACAACTCAAACCCACAATCACATTGAAACATCTTGCACCAAATCTCTCAACATGAATTGGGGAAAGAATTCAATGATTTCTCTACACAATTGCCAATTGACCTAATCACCCCTCTCATCAGACCAGAAAACTACTCCGCCATCACACAAGCAGACAACAACTTAGCCATAGAAGGCAGAAAGCTCTTCCGGCACTCAAAGGAACACTTACTGGTATACAGACGGCTCACAAACACCAGCTAAGAACACAGGTGCTGCTGCTTGGTACATCAATACTAACAAGTTCATTGCCCAACACTTAGGCAAAGCACATCTACATGGCATCTACAAAGCCGAATACAAGGGTGTACAACGGGGCTCATCATTGCACTAGAAACAGCAAGCGCACAAACTACAAAAATCTCCATCATCCTGGATAACCAACCGGTAATCAAAGACTCACAGAACTCTCCAACCACTGTTGCCTTGCTGATGAATTGGAAGGAAACCTTCAAGATCCTCAAATACCTTACATGCGCGTTCACTAATGCAAGGGTTACAATCAGGTGGTGTCCGGGTCACCAAGGTGTAACAGGTAACAAAAATGTAGACAAAGCAGCTAATAGCTTGGCGAAGCATAATTTGCCAAGCACATTCACTTCAACCCCAACCCTTGCAGGTTTCACCACAGCAAATTCAAAACATGAACAAAGCTCAACAAAAACAATTTCTCCCCAGATGACATCAAATGACTAGGACAACAACCATTACCCAAACAAGACCCCAAAGCCCTTATCAACCTCAAAAGCACAAAAGCTCAACAATCACATAACTATGATCCAATCATGTCTATCTCAACTGATACCTATTCAGACATAACCAAAGTTTTCACCCAATGTGCAACTGCCAACAGGGAGTCAAAACTATTGATCATTTTCCTTTTTTTAAAAAAATGAGTATATGCAAAGTGAAATACCTGGCCTAGGGCATAAAAACACACTGTAGTAGACAAGTTTGAAGCTAGACAAATGATGTCAAGCACAAGTAGTGACTGGGTGGAGGGACACATTGTAGTTTCCAGCACATGACAATTTGAGAAACAGAAAAGAGAAAGATAGAAAAATAAGTGGAAAGAAATAAGTTCAAATGACAATGACATCTACGCATGCGGCATTGGGAGGTAGCTATTCAGTAGTGGTTCAAGGATTAAGTGTTGACTAAAATTTGGCAGAATCTCTCTACAGCAGATGGCCAGTGCCGAGGAACACTCTCAGGCACCAGGGCAATGTCCCTGTTGGTCTCAAAGACATTTTTTAGTCAAAGGTGGTGGTTGACAGACAATACTTTTTAGATAATGATTTTTTTCAATCATGACATCATAATTGAATGTGTTTATATTTCACTTATAAAGTTTTTCATTATACTTGACTTTAGCTTACTTCTACAAATCCTTCTGTCAGGGGACTGAGAGGTGCGCATGGTCAGTACACACAAGTGAGACAACAATAAGAGCAAAATGGAAAAGTAGAGGAAGGTGAGCAAGTGATGTATGGAATCGGTGATGGATTGCAATGCATACCTGAGAGGTGTGCACAATCAGTACACACAAGTGAGACAACAATAAGAGCAAAATGGACAAGTAGAGGAAGGCGAGCAATTGATATGTATGGAATTGGTGAGGAAACAACAATGAGAGTGAACAAAGGTACAGTATATATATGTAGTGAGATGTACAAGGTAAGTGTTGTATCTAGCCAAACCGGATGCCCATATGTCCCTGCCTAGTCAGCCTTGCTGATCTAGGTCACGCCCTGAATGATTTACTGGTCCAATCAAGACAAGGTTTGACTGATTGAGATGAGCTGTTGGATATGAAAAGGGCCAAGGGAGTAAGTGCCCTGGCAGCGGACCAAACATGTTTGTTCTGACACCCCCCCATCCAATGCACAGGGTGCCTCACAAAGAAAGAGTAGCAAAGCAGAGAGAAAGAAAAAAAGATAAAAGAGAAACCAGCATGCATCCTGATCACATGTGATCCTGATCACATGTGATCAATGGTTGGAGCAGCTTGAAAGAAAAAAAAATTGACACCACAAGATGACACGCACTCTGGCTCCTCATAGCCGTCATAATGCAAAGAGAGAAAATAACAGAAACACAATCAGGACACAAGTAGCCATCATTTCGCCTCAGTTACTTCACAGGGTCCTATTCCCATAAGAGCACAAAAACAAGCCATCTTGACGCGGTCTAGAGCCTTGGTGAAAATATCAGCAGCCATGTCAGCAGTAGGGCAGTATGGAATGGTGATGAATCCTAGGGAGACTTGGTTGCAAATCAAGTGAAAGTGAGCCTTGATATGCTTGGTATTGGCACAGAAACCGTCAGATTTGGACAAGGCAATGGCGGCTTGGTTGTCGCAGTAGAGAGTGACTGGTTTGGGTTTGGTGGGTGGTACAATGGACTGAAACAAGCGTTGGAGCCAAAGGGCTTCCTTACCGGCGTTGAGGAGGCCGCAATACTCCGCCTCAGTTGAGGAAGATGCAACAGAGACCTGCTTCTTGGCGCGCCAGGATATGGAGCCACGGCAGATGACAAAGGTGTATCCACACATGCTTCCGCGAGAGAATCAACAGGCAGCCCAATTGGAGTTG